TAGTGAAAAGGGATGGGGTAAATATGCATGCTATAGTTATTAAGGGTAGAAAACATGTTATTAGGTTTATGTTCCTGATTGCGCAATAGAAACCATGCTTAGGGTTCATACATGCATTAGAAAATCATGCTCTTAAGATCCCATGTTTATTGTATCAGCATGTGCACTCTTACCAAATCATGTGTTAAAATCTGCTAATAATTAGCACTTTACTATTATGTTCTATGCTTCCATGTGCATTTAAAAATCCTGCTCTTAGGAAATTCTGCAATCCTGCCATATGCATTTAGAAATCATGCTCTAGGAATTCTGCATCATGAGCTTTATACATGCATCTTAGATACCATGTGTTTAGGATTTCATCCGTACTCGCATTCACACTTAGTCTAAACTGCTGGTTATAAAAGAGGTAAAAACAGCTTCACACCTGATTATCCTGTTTAAAATAACTGGTAGCAATCCTTGCATTTTATAACACCTAGAACAACATGCTCTTAGGGTGAAATAATTTTCAAACTATCTTTTAATAATTCTGAATAATTGTTGCATGCTATTTTATGCCTAGGCAAGCCTTAGGTAATTAATTTTAAATAAAACCAGAACCGTCTCTGCGATCAGTGTTTAATTATCAACTATTAAAACCAGTAGGAAAGCCTGATTCGGACATTTTTTCTGAGTCATGTAATAGATCTGGAGCAGGTCGTGTTGATCGAACATTTGCCCTATCGAAAGGTATACCTGGGCACGTGGTTAACCCCCGAGCTCAGGAAAAAACTCATTCAATTTCTTATAGCTAATATGGATTGTTTTGCTTGGTCCCATCTCGATATGACAGGGATCCCACCGGAGATCACTACTCACAAGTTGAGCTTGGACCCGAAGTTCTATCCGGTAAAGCAAATAAGGAGACCCCAGTCCGAGATCAAGCATGCCTTCATCAAGGACGAGGTAACTAAACTCTTTAAAATAGGGTCCATTCGGAAGGTCAAATACCCGGAATAGTTAGCAAACATAGTAATAGATCCTAAAAAAAGGAAAAAACTAAGAATGTGTGTGGATTTTAAAGATTTAAATAAGGCATGCCCCAAAGATTTATTCCCTTTGCCTAACATCGATCGCATGATCGATGCCACGGCCGGCCACGAGATTCTCAGTTTTCTCGATGCCTACTCCGGGTACAACCAAATACGGACGTACCCGCATGGCCAAGAAAAAACCTCTTTTATCACTAAGTATGGCACATACTGCTATAACATAGTGCCATTTGGATTTAAAAAATGCCGGTTCCACTTACCAACGACTAGTAAATCGAATGTTTAAGGAACAAATAGGAAAAATCATGGAAGTTTATATTGACGATATGTTAGTTAGGTCCCTTCGAGCAGAGGACCATTTAAATCATTTGCAGGAAAACATTAGTATATTGAAGAAATACAACATGAAGCTGAATCTAGAAAAGTGTGCGGGGTCAGATCCGGTAAATTTCTCGGGTACATGGTATCTAACCGAGAGATCGAGATCAACCCCGACAAGATCAAGGCTATCGAGGATATCACGGTAATGGATAATGTAAAGGTTATACAAAGGCTAATCGGGCGCATTGCAACCCTGGAGCGTTTCATCTCAAGGTCATCTGAAAAAAGCCATCGATTTTTCTCATTGCTGAAAAAGAAAAACAACTTCACATGGGCCCCGGAATGCCAACGGGCCTTAGAAAAACTTAAGTGATACATATCGAGACCGCCATTGCATTACATGCCGAGGACGACTGAACTTGTGTGGTTTGCATTTATTTTTTTTATTGTCAATTTTAGTATTAATTTATTCTTCTTAATTTTGGCCAGATCCATCCTTCCTTCTAGAGAATAGTGATTCTCCTCCGATTCTTCGTAAGCAAAATCGAGGGATGTCCCTTCACCCTCGATCACCTTATGCGCCTTATTGTCCCTGACTCTATCGAGGAGATCTTTTCAATCTCAAAATCAACAATAGTAAGGCACCCTAACGGAATGAAATCCTCAAAGGGATATTCCGCCGCAGCTATATCGCCGGCGGGCCGTGATGAAGAGGCAGTCTCCTTGCAGTGCAGTATTAGAAGTTTTCGCCATTGTAGATCCGAAGAAAATGGAATTAGGATGGTGTGCAGTTTGCTAAAAGTTCAAGAAATTCGGGTGTAAGAGTTGCATAACAAAGAGATTTTTTGGAACGAAACAGGAATAGGAGGAGCTTTGAACATAAACTTTGAATAGAGGAAGGTTATAGTACTTGTAGCTTCCCGCTGACGGTTCAAAACCCATGGTGGCCGACCAGCAACTGACAAGCATTTAATACCTTGGTAACTGGACCGACGGGACGTTTCAATGTCCATTTGTTGCTTACATCATAATCGGGCGTATCAGTGACGTTCGTCGCCTACGTCATGGCCCATCGAGATGGGGCTCAGAAGTTCATATTATTTCTCGTCATCTTCTCTCCGAGAAACGAGGGGAATATCTGTATACTATCAAAACCGAGCTTGCCCTTTGTGTGACTAATTGAGATTGAAATAAGATAGTTCAAAGTTCGACCTCATGTTATATCGAACCATTGTGCAAAGATAGATCGTCGAGCTGGTGACCCAGAGACGGATCAAGATCGAGATCGGCCAAGATCGAGATCAAGCAAGATAGAGATCGAGCAACATCGAGGAAAACTCACTGAGCCAAATTACGGAAAGATGAAATATCCACAATCGGGCGAGGTTCATGGCGAAAATTCCGGCATGTATCAAGAAGATGCCGATTAATTAGCTAATCATGAGTAGCTAATCATATAGAACTGTATCACGAGCAGGACTCCCCTACTATATAAAGGGGGTCTGATTATTTGTAAAACACATCATACTTACGCTATACAAAGCAATATACTGTCATTTTCTAGCTTTCATTATCTTGTTACTCTATTCATAAGTTAGTTGAAACATCTTTTGGTTCAAGGGCGACTGAGCTCGAGGGCCAAAGCTATTCAATTTGTGTGGTTTACATTTATTTTTTTTTATCGTCAATCTCAATATTAATTATTCTTCTTAATTTTTACCAAGTTATGTCACGTATCCTTAAAACCGTGTATAAATTCAGTTGTTGTCCGATTTTAGGGTAAACAAGCCTAAACTTATAATAAATTTTTTCTATGTCATGTCACCCAAAAGATATACACATGCAACACTTCTCGAAAAAAAAGTGAAATTTTTATATGTTGAAACTAATGCAAGTTAAATTAATCTTAAGATAGTGTAACAAGTGTATATAAGTTAAACTCTATTTTTGGGGCAAGCCCCTCCCCCCCTCTCTCCCTCGATTTGTTTCAGTTTAAGTTAAATTAATCATGTCACCCAAAAGATATATACATGCCTTCTCTCTCTTTCTCCCTCGATTTGTTTCAGTTTAACCTTGCTAAATCTGCGAGTAATCCTAAAAGTGATAAGTGATGATCTAAAGCCTAAGGCCTATAACTTGAGAAATATATACTCGTTATAGGCTTTCTGAATCTGAACACAGCCAGTCCAGGGCATGTTGCTCGAGGAATCGCGAATAACTTGATTAACATCGTGTTGCCTATTGTTTAGAATTTATAAATATACAAAAGAAATGTGCATTTTCTTTCTATGTTTTCAAAATTCGTTTTTTCCTAGTTCTCTTTTGTTCAGGGGAACCAGTGAGAGCTGATGGGTGTTTATGATGATATGAAAGTTTAAGATAATCTCGTTGGACGGTATAATAGTAGGAATCCTACAATTCGCAATCACGAACTTCTACTTTTCAAGATTAACAATTTTTGCACCATCATTAATTTTGAGATGGAAGATAGACTATTATGAAATTGGATGTCACTATGGTATACTCCCTCCGTTCACTTTTACTTGGCATGTATACTAAAACTATATTTTCCTTTTTACTCGTCAGTTTACGCATATCAATAGAAGACGAATTCTTTTTCTATGTTATACCCACAGTATTTATTATTCATTTCAAATCACTTTCTCAAATCCACTAAAATATGCAACAATTAATTAATATGGATACCATGGTAAATTATACTTTTCATTTATTATTTCTTAAGGAACGTGAAAAGTCAAAACGTGCCAAATAAAAGTGAACGGGGAGAGTATAAGAATTTTAAAAAAAAAAAATCGTGGCGCGACCCAATCGCTCAACCAATCAAAGTACAAAGTATGAGTGGGCCCCTGTGTCCTTTCCTCGCCAACATACAGAACTAGACAAGGCTAAGATTCTCCACACAAAAAAATATCTAGCTTACTGCTTTTATGCACTATATATTAAAAGATCAAAGTCAGACCTGTGCAACTATGTCAATAAGTAATACTTACTAGTAGTAGTATTGAGCAGTCAGCTAAGAAGAGTAAGAGTACATGCAGGTAATTGGATGGTTCTAGAAGAGCAAGTGAGAGAGATATGGAGCTCAAAATGGAGCGATTTTCATATATCTGCAAAGAAGAAAATGTACAGATCTGTTCTAACTGAAGAAGCTAACATCTATATATACTGATAACTAACTAACCGACTAAAAGGAGATTAAGTTAAAAGATTCTATTTGCACACTTTAACCCCTAAACTAATGTATTATCTATGTTAGTTCAATACTCCCCTCATGCTAAAGGGGAGAAAAAAATTCTTCACTCCTAGCTTGCCAAGTAGATGATCATGTTGAGTTCTACCCAGCCCTTTAGTTAGAATGTATGCAACCTGCTCCTTAGTGTTGACATGCATAGTTTTGATAGATCCAGCTTTCACCTTTTCTCTAATAAAATGACAATCGATGTCTATGTGTTTTGTACGCTCGTGGAACATAGGATTGGCTGCAATTTGTATTGCTGCCTTACTATCACACATCAAGGTGACTGGCCTCTTAATCTCAAAGCCCAGTTCATTGAACAAGCCTGTCAGCCACACTATCTCTGCCGTTGCTGAAGCCATGCTTGGAAATTCTTCTTCTGCTGAGCTTCATGCAACAATTTCTTGTTTCTTCGACTTCCAAGAAATCAAGGCATCACCACAGAATACTAGATACGTCGTAACAGACATTCTTGTGTGCAAACATGCACCCCGGTCTGCATCACAATATGCTAATAGTTGTCCATCTCCTTCTGCCGGTAATAACAGACCTTGGACTGGAGAAGTCTTAATATACCTCACCACTCTGGTGGCAGCATCTAGATGTGATTGTTTAGGAGCATGCATGAATTGACTAAGTGTTTGTACGTCATAAGAGATATCTGGTCGAGTCATTGTCAGGTATAGCAGTCTGCCAACAAGCCTTTGATACACACTTGCATCTCTCAAAACAGGATCATTATCAGCAGCAGGTGTTATTGCTTTGTCAAACTCCATAGTAGTTAACTTCTGATTGACTTCTAGAGGGGTACTAGTTGTTTTTGATCCTGCTAGACCAAGTTCAGCTATCAACTCTAAAGCATATTTTCTTTGGCTCATATATATGCCTTTAGAGGATCTTGCAAATTCAATCCCAAGGAAGAACTTCAGCTCCCCCAGGTCTTTCATTTTGAAGAATTTCTGTAAATCTGCTCTAGTTTTATCAATAAACATAACATCACTACCAGTGACTAACAAGTCATCTACATAGATGAGAACTAGCACTTGACTACAACCTTTTCTTTTACTGAAGAGAGAGTAATCATAGTGACTTTGTGTGAAACCCATTTAATGCAAGGCATCTGTGAGCTTAAGATTCCATTTCCTGGAAGCCTGTTTGAGTCCGTATATGGACTTGTGAAGTCTGCAAACAGAATATGAATGCTCCCCCTGCCTTGCAGTGGTATGAGAGAAACCGGGAGGAATGGTCATGTATACTTCCTCCAAGAGATCACCCTGAAGGAAGGCATTATGAACATCCATTTAGTAGATAAGCCAACCATGATGTGCAGCTAGGGCAATGATGGTCCTGATTGTGACCATTTTTGCTACAGGTGAAAAAGTTTCTGTATAATCCAACACCTCTTGTTGTGTGCATCCCTTAGCCACAAGTAGGGCCTTATATCTTTCAGCCTCTCCATTAGCTTTATGTTTGATCTTGAACACCCGTTTACATCCAATGGGGTTCTTTCTAGGAGGTAAAGGAACTATGCTCTAAGTGTCGTTGTCTTCCAAGGCTTGAAGTTCTTGATGCATTGCTGACACCCATTTAGGATCCTTAGCTGCTTCTGAGAATGAACTAAGTTCAATCTCTACTGAATAAGCTGCAAGACATTGACTTTAGGCAGGCTTCAATGCTTGATAACTAATAGAATTAGCAATAGGATAATTTCAAGGCTTGCTTTTTTTTAGCATTTTGGCCAACCACATAATCATTCATCCATATAGGAGGCCTAGAAGGCCTAGTGGATTTTCTGATCTTAGCAGCTGTTAAGTCATCAGCAACAGATGAAGGAAGAACCTCAGGGAATGGAACTACAGTAGTGTGATGGGAAGGATTGCTTGGAAACTCATCTGGAAATAGAAGATCATCAGGACATGTAGAACTGCCTTGAAGATCTTCAGTGAGTGGAATATATGGTGGAGTGAGAGCAACAGTTGGAATATGTAGTGGAGTGCCTTGAAGATCATCCTGGTGTGCCAAGTCAGATGATGAAGTGTCTTGTGATGTGATGGAATGGTGAGGTAGAGGCAACACAAGATCATCAGAGTCAGAATCATAGGCTGGAGTTACAATAGGAAGTTATTGATCCTTCATGGGGCTGTTCATGTGTTGGAGAAAAGGAAACACATCTTCCTTGAAGACAACATCCCTGCTCACAAAAGGGCAGTTATTGTGCAAGTCATAGAGTATGTAACCCTTTTGCACCAATGAGTACCCCAAGAATATAGCTGGTACTGCTCTAGGTGAGAATTTGTGTTGTCTTTTAAGATTTGCAACATAGGTCAGGCGACCAAACACCATGAGATGATCTAAGGTGACATTTTTGTGGAATACTAGCTCAAAAGGTAATTTACCAGACAAAATTCTAGAAGGAACTCTGTTGATCAAATAAACAGCTATTAAAACACACTCACCCCAGAATTTTAAAGGCAATTCATCTTGGAATCTCAAGGCTCGTGTAGTATCCAAAATGTACCTATGCCTTCTTTTAACAATTCCATTTTGTTGAGGAGTGTATGGGTAGGAGCTTTGATGCACTATTCCTTCAGATTGCAATAGGGCTGTCAACTGCTTGTGAAAAAGCTCTCCTCCATTATCTGTTCTTAGTGTTTTAGGAGTAGTGGAGAATTTATTTCTTAGTAGTGAAATAAAGTGTCTCAAAACCACAACTGATTCATCTTTTGTGTTCATGAGGCAGATCCATGTATACCTACTGAAATCATTAACAAGAGTCAGAAAATATCTCTTACCATCAAAAGTTGGAACCTTCAAGGGTCCCCATACATCAGCATGTATAAGGTCACCAAAGACATCACATCTACTGTTGCTAATAGGAAAAGGTAATCTTGTTTGCTTTGCTAAAGGACATACTGGACAGTGTTCTTTATAGTCAACAAATGTCTTGTTGTGAAAAGCTGGTAATCTCTTCAAAGAATCTAAAGGAATGTGACCTAGTATTTTATGCCACAAAGAGCTATTTATTCTATTTATTACTAAAGCGAAAGTAATAAAACCAATTGGCAACTTGAGATTTGAGTTTTGCTTGAGATACAACACATAGAGTCCTTCCTCCAGCTTACCAATCCCCTTCACCTTCCCATTGCAAATGTCCTGGAAGACACACCAAGAAGGAAAGAAGGCAATGAAGCATCCAATGTCCCTTGTAAGTTGTGAAACAGACAGTAAATTGTACCTAAACTGTGGCACATACATGACAATTTTAATTGGTAAACCATTGAGAATGCTAGAGGATCCTAGGTGCGTAATCCTAATAGTTTCAGCAGTTGGCAGCTGCACTTTCCTACCTTCTCCTTTAGGTATCTCAATAAAGTCAGTGAAGAAATCCAAACTAGATAACATATGGTTAGTGGCATCTGAGTCTATGATCCACCTATCCTGCTTAGCTTTACTTAGGAGTGATAATGGTATACCTGTGACCTTGGCATGAGCTGCTGTTTCAACAGGTGTTGTGTTCTGGTTTAGCAGTTGAAGTAGTTGTTTATACTGCTGCTCTGTGAAGAAGTTCCTTGTAGTTTCTATTCCAGAACTTCCTTGGTCTGTTGGTCCTTTTGAATAGTCAACCTTTGCATTGTGTGCTGCTGCCATGTTTCTTCCAAAGGTTTTCTTCTTTGGCTTGTAGTCAGGTGGATAACCTACCAACTTGTAACAAACATCTTTTGTGTGTCCTTTTAATTTGCAATAATCACATAATACCTGAGCTTTCTGCTTGTAGCCACTAGGAAAACCTTGTCCTGAGTTGTATGCCATAGCTGCTGCTCCTATCTCCAAGCCACTAATATTCACTGTCTTTGCTCGTTGACTCTCATCCTGAACTACCATTCCATAGGCCTCATTGATAGTAGGTGTAGGAATCATAAGCGTGATTTGGCCTTTTGCTTGGGCAAATGACTCGTTCAGGCCACTCAGAAATGCACCAAATGCTGATGTTGAATGTGCTTTAGAAACACCTTCGATTCTGGACATGGACATGATGGAGTAGGGGCCCTAGCATCATACTCATCCCACAGATCCTTGAGCTTAGAATAATAGGTTGATACATGTGATAATCCTTGCATTACGGCACCAATTTCTTGAAGTAAATTGTAAATCCGCGATATGTTCCTTTTATCGAATCTCTCCTTCAAATCCTTCCACACATTGTGTGCAGAGGATCCAAACCACACTGCTATATAACTCATTTGTTATTGCATTCATAATCCACGACAAAACAAAGGCATTGCACCTCTCTCATTGATCATGAAGATTTGTCCTAAAATTCTCCTTGCGACAAGTGCCGTCAATAAATCCGATTATGTTCTTCGTTAAAAGTCCAATTCTCATGGATCGACACCACAAATTGTAATTTTTAGTGCCTAATAGTTTGGATTCAATCAGATGTTCACCTGGCGAATCTGAAGGTCGCAAATACAGAGGATGATTGTGACTTAGCACTGTGTCACCACTCGTTGCTTCTTCAATCGCTATTATACTCTGAGTTGAGAGAAATAACAAACCCTAGCTCTAAAATTGAGTGTGTCAATGGATAAGAACACTGAACCGGAGATCGAAATCAGTTGCCGGAGCTCAATCGGAAGGCTCTGATACCATATTGAGCAGTCAGCTAAGAAGAGTAAGAGTACATGCAGGTAATTGGATGGTTCTAGAAGAGCAAGTGAGAGAGAGATGGAGCTCAAAGTGGAGCCATTTTTATATATCTGCAAAGAAGAAAATGTACCGATATGTTCTAACTGAAGAAGCTAACTTCTATATATACTGATAACTAACTAACCGACTAAAAGGAGATTAAGTTACAAGATTCTATTTGTATACTTTAACCCCTAAACTAATGTAATATCAATGTTGGTTCAATAAGTAGTGGAGAATTAAAAGCAGAAGTGAAGAGGCAAATTAAGGGTGATCGCAATTAATTAGGAGAAAAAGGAAGTTAAATAAAATCATTACATTTTTCTTTTTGGTAATAAAAGCATATTATCATAATAGTTAAGGAAGCGTCACAAATTGTTTGGAGTGTGCACAATATATTATATATGTGATTTTGATTTCAAGTACATACACATGATTTGAGCAGGATTCAGTAGATGCTATCGCACTTGTAGATATCATCTGCCATTAGCATCCAGACCAGAAACAAGTAGTAGGTTCATAGGATGAGGAGAATTTGGAAAGAGGTAGGCTGAGGCTAGCGTCCAGCATTCAGCAGCCGTTTCAGCCGCGTGCTTCATCTGTGGTCCAAACCTCAACTTCTAGTCCTCAAAAATTGCGTTAGTACTTTCTCATTTACAGCATACAAAAATATGCACAGTGGTCTAACGTGGGTTTGGCCGATAAAAATTTATTTGCAGAACATATTTTTATATCAAATTAATCAATACAAAATATTATAAGTGTTTTACGTGTTTTACGTACACACGATTTATCCAATGTAAGTAAATTATTACTGTATAGTATCTTTATTTGGAAGTATATTCTCCTAATTTTTTAGACATAAAGTTATTTTTGTATTATTTCTTCTAATAATTCTTTTTCTATTGATAATGTTATTAATCCATTTAGTATCTCTTTAGACATTGTTGATCATAATTAAGATTTTTAATCAATTTTAATTTTGATTTTCTTTTTGTACAACTGTTACATGAACTATTAACATTAGTTTATAAAAAATATAAGAAAAGAATCACGTCTTTTTATCTGATTGAATATACTATTAAAATTTTATCTTCTACTTGTACTATTTTTATTAACGTTTTAATTCAAAAAATAAGACTAAACCATCATCGAGGTTAACACAATATTTTTTAAAATTCTCATCATCTATTGACCTTAATCTTTTACCACTAAATAGAAAACCACAAATATTTTCATACGCTTCGAATTATTCAATCTTAACCATATATATATATATATATACTAAAATTAAAAATTTATACTTTTTATTTTAAAATACTCAATTCAAAAAAAAATATTAATTCATAAACTTATTACTAGTGAAAATGGGGTCCCCAAAAATTGGGGGGTGGGAGGTGGGGGTGGGGGTTAAGCCGTGGCTTTACCTGCCTCACCCTTCAGCCAATACTAATCTATATTATATTAAAAGGAGGGTAGAGAAGAATGAGATTATGCCTAGTAGCATATGAACGTTTGCTCGTGCCCGAGCAAAGTACACAAAATAAAATAGCGGCCAATTTCTTAAAGTAAAATTATGAATACTTTCGGCAAACAAGAATATAATCAAGATCAATCCACGAGTTCAAATAATATCTAATCGTACTCATGTACATTTATTAAGAACCAAAATTATAAATATTTTTTATGCCATGTTCTCTCACCAAATATAGTGAAATTCCATAGATCACAATATATCAATAAAAAACAAAAGAAGGAATGTTGGAAAATTACGACTCACACTTAACAAAAAAGTAACTCAAGCTACAGAAAATTTTCATAATCTTGACTATCATGGGGTTCTCCACTAATATAAGAGCCTTTGGATTGAGATTATATAGGGCTTTAATAAGGTTGTAATGTAGGTGTCATGGACAAGTAAGATACATATGAATAAAGTGACTCAAGTATCTTACGAGCACCACAATATTTTTAACAATTAACACCGTTGTCCTCCTTCTTTCTAAAACAAATCAACCACCTTATTTTTCATTATTTTTCTTTCTTCAAGCCTTTCATTGTTTCTTATTTTCTTTATGAATTCTCTCTCTCTGTCTCTCTCTCTCTCTCTCATAACCAACAATTTATTTCTTTTATAGTCACATGACATCAATTAGTAAATCCAACAATTATCCTTTTATTTCTTCCTTCCACTACTACTCACTCACCCTTCCTAACAAATACTCATATATGTATTTGTTATTATGGGACTTGCTGGGGTGGTTGGTTTGGTTTCAGAGAGGTTTTGAAGTGAACTAGGACACTCAGTACCAAGGTTGTAAGCTTAAGTTGTAAGAGTTAACTGGAGTTTAACTTTTGTGTAGACGGCTCCAGAATCGTATTTTGATGCTTCCAATAGATTTATATGGTGATTTTGGACTTAGTCATATGCCCAAATTTGGATTTAGAGGTCCCTAGGTTGATTTGGTTCTAATTAGTGAAAGTAGAAAAGTTAAAGGTTTGGAAGATTGATTGATTTGACCGAGAGTTGACTTTGTAGATATCGGGTTCGTATGTTGGTTCCCGGAGTTGGAATAGGTTATTGTGTCATTTGAGACTTGTACGCAAAATTTGAGGTGTCATGATCCAAATTTCCCTCCGTAAGATGTCGTGACGACACCTAGTCTCTTAGACTAGGTAAGCCTAACAAATGCAGAAAAGAAACTGAAATAACGACTAAAATCTCAACATCAATTAATAAATGTATAACTGAAAACTGCCGCTCGGCATGTACAAGTAAAATACATAGAGAATCACAACTCCCAAAACCCGGTGGTAATAAGTCACAAGCTCTAAGAGAAATGCTAAATATCTCTATACATCAGGGGTCTAACGAAGATAAGGAAAAACAACATATTAAAGGTAGAGGGGGATTCCGAGGTATGCGGACGCTGATATACCTTGAAGTCTCTGCTTACTCACTGGCTTATTGATATCGGGTCCAGTAGGAGGTTCCTGGATCTGCACAAAAAGATGTGCATAAGTGTAGTATGAGTACACTACAACGATACCCAGTAAGTGCCAAGCCTAACCTCGGTAGAATAGTGACGAGGTCAGGTCAGGGCCCTACTGGAATTATTAAAAAACAAGACATGAGATATAATAACATAATGAAATGCCAGAGAAGTGAAACAATAGAAATTTACTGAAGGTAATAACATGAAATGAAGAAAGGACAAATACATCACGAAAGGAAAGAAAAGATCTTACAAGTTAAAAAAAAGGCAACAAAAACCAACACAGCAAACAGAGGAAACCAACAGGGGCACTCCCGAGGTACCGCCTCGTAATGCAAAAGTAAATCTCTCACAATCTTTCCTTATATCACCGCGGGATCCTTTATAGTTTTGTTTTGAAAATTGTTTTCTCGAAATAGTATCCCGCGTTTTAGCCAACCTTATCACACCGCATAACTTCTAGTAGTTCCCCTACTAGCCACGCGTATCTAGCCCACCTTATCTCACTGCCCGTGTTTTAACACCTAGACCTTATACCACCACATGCGTATCAATAATTACAACGGCACGGCAGAAATCCCGTGCAAACAATAACAACCGTACAGCAGAAATCTCGTGCAACAATAATAATCGTGTAGCAGAAATCTCGTGCAACAACAAAAATAGTCATCTCAATAATAATCACGGAAACCAAAACATAACGATTGGAACAATGATATTTCAAGGATAACAATTTCAAGTAAAGAATCCCAAAGTTAAACAAGGAATATGGAATCAAGAAAATAGGTAGTTCAACTAAACATGTAGTACAAGTTGCAAATAAGAGATATGACAGGTAGACATGATGATATTAGGCTAAACATGATGTATATACATGCTAGAGTAACTCAGTTAAGACATAAAAAGGAAACTACATAGATAAAATCGGAATTTCAGCATTTAGCCTGTGTACGCACTCGTCACCTCGTGTACGCGTCCCTAACATATCACAAACTATCACAATAATACCAAATCCTAAGGGGGATTTTCCCCACACAAGGTTAGACAGGTCACTTACTTCAAATATCGCTCAATCAATCAATAATAATGCCTTTTTCACGAATTTCTGACTCCGAACTGCCCAAATCTAGCAAAAACTAATTACATACTATAAATATAACTACAAGAAACTATTCTATATAATGAAATTACGATTTTAGCAAGAGTTGAAAAAATTTCCTCAAAAAGTCATTCTAGGCCCACGTCCTGGAATCGGGTAAAAGTCACAAAATACGAACACCCATTCAACCACGAGTCCACCCATACCAAAATTACTCAAATTCGATACAAAAATTTCGATCAAAACCTCAA